GTGCCAGCAGGTTCCAGAAATTAATTACTTACTGTGTTAAGAAGAACTTCCTTTTCCCTGAGCTGAATCTCCTGCCAATCAGTTTCATTAGATCACCCCTGAGTTCTAGCAAGAGGTAGAGAAAAACACATTCAGCCTTAGGCTTATCCTGCATAATTTTCTTGCTGATCCTGTCCCACCCACCTCTTCCTTGTCTTTCCTCACTGAACTGAAAAACTCAGCCATCATAGCCCATAGCCGTTCAGTGATCTGTCAGCACGCCCCTCTGTATTCCATTTTAACAAAAGTAACTGGCCAGAAGTTGAGTTTTTACATGCCATTTTCCAGCTTTATTTCTTGTGCAGAGGGCTTGCTTTAGATCCTGGAATTCGAGAAAGGAAAATTGCTTCAGTGCAGCAAAAGTACTTGCTTTTCATGCATCTGTATTGTTGCATCATGGTACACGGGAAACTCAATCCGGCTTCAATTCTTATGTTAACCAAAGGTGAAGGAGTCGTGCAGCTGAGTTTTGAATTCTTTCATGTAATTTTCTCGTAGATCCATTGTGAAATACGATGGTTTATTTATATGAAGCTCATTATTGTGTCTCCTGCACCCACTGAGGAGGATGGTTAGATAAATAATAGAGAGAGGCCTTTTCCAGGCTTTTCCCCACTAGGATCCACTTGAATCTGTTGGTAATGAATAAACCCATCTTTTCAGGCTCTGTCAAACAAAACTATTTTTCTGTTTGTTATTTAAGAACTCTTAAAGCATTTCCATTTGTTGGTAATGTACACAATGGTCACAAAGAATCCACAGATTCTTACAGCTGGTCTCCATGCTGTTTAACACAGATGAATGGGCTGGCTGGGGTGACAGAGCTGCCATCTGCTAAAGTTGTGATAGTAACTCTGCACTCTTGTGATAAAAAAGAGTTCCTCTGTGCTATCTCACAGTCTGGTGCAAAATCTGGATGTACCCTGCACTGGAGATGCTTGAGCTGCATTCTGTGGGCACATGTTGTATATGCATTGTATTGCTGAATTCTACTTGCTTCTTGTAACCATTTTAATAACAGTAATCTGGGATGTTAAAAGATGAAAATGCTTGCACAAACCAATTTGAGACAAACCACATATGAAATTATACTACTGCTTCTTAATCGCTTTAGCCATAGGCCATTGCAATAGGATCAACAACAAACCAAGGAGTTATAGCATAATAATTACATTAATGAACAGACAGGCCAGAGTATTCAAACACCAGAATGCCTGCTCTTTAGCATAGTACACCATTATTCAAATAAATTGTCTAACAATTTCACAGATGATCCCCCAGAAGATAGTTCCATTAGCCTTTGCAAACTGAGACCTGTTTCAGATGCAGACAATGCAAAATATCTTCCTTTTTGTGTAATTGCTATATCCCCCTTAGCCCCCCAGTGGATGTTGTGTGTACTCAATCATAAAGAGAATGCAGTAATAGTCAAACTGATGACAACCATTCATTCCTCATCCAAGGTTCTAGCCAGGCTTTTGAAATCTGTTTGCAGTTTACTACTGGTGAGTATCCCTTCCAAATCCTGTTAGTTCTAGGTAATGTGAAAGAGGAAAGTCTCTTGACAGTTCACAACAGCAACAACCCACAAAAGTAAAACAATGAGAATTACATGCAGCCACACATTAAACCAGTCTTAAACCTGGCTAAATTTAGGATGGAGCCTTCCAAAATTTTAATAGCAGAGGAGTGTTCTGCTTTGCATTTATTCAGTTATAGGCCAGAAATTGCTGACATAGAGTTCTGAAACAATATTGTTGATAGCTAATAGAGGAAGACTTAGAACTAAACTCCAAAAATATTTCTGGCAATGATCTGACAATAGAGCTAATTTTTCTTAAGTTGCTTTCCTTTCTGTCTCCCTCTGCAAAATTTTTCTTTCTGAATCACTGCATGAAAGGCAGGCTTTCTTAAAATTCCAGCTTTCTCTCTGGGTTAGAGGAATTCCGTAATTCCTGGGAAGATAGCTAATACAAGGAAGAATTGGTTACCCGCACAGTACACATAAACATATCCTTGATAACCATTTTCCTCACCAAAAGCAGCTTTGGGAAGAGTGGAGTTTTCCCCCCACCTGTCTGTGTCTCTCTCTCTCTCTCTCTCTCTCTCTCTCTCTCTCTCTCTCTCTCTCTGTGTGTGTGTGTGTGTGTGTGTGTGTGTGTGTGTGTTTGCATATATGTGTATGTAACCATTTCTCTAGTTGCCACTCTTCTATTCCAAATTACACACAAACTACCTTCTCCCATACATGCACTTAAGAGAACCCTAACCAAAGGATCACCCAGTTTTGATAAAACTGTGCTTGATGAGGCTGGAAATGAGCATCTTGGATGAATTCTGTTTCTTCTCCCCTCTTGCTTCCATATGCTAGTTTCCAGGTGAAGACTCTCACTTGCATTAAGCCAGAGTTCTGTCCAAACTGTAGAATTCTGGCTTCACATCAACAAACCAGGAAAAAAAACCCAGCCATTATCATTCTTCCGATAATGAGATGCTTAGTGCAACATTCCCTTCGCAGGACTGTGGAGAGTAGCTTCCCTTTTTCATGTAAGGATCTTGCAACATTTCACCACCGCTGCAGTGTTTTAATCCACTTTGAACCATTGCTGAGTATTGACTTTTCTAACCTGGTCTCCTGCACTTGTGCTGGACTTCAACTACCACAAGCCCCTCAGATGACACGGCAATTGGCAATTTTGGCTGGGTGCATTGGATGGTGGTCAACAGATCTGAAAAGGAGCAGGTTTGGCAAGACTGGCTAGCAGCATCATTGGGTGGGTCTTTGCATTCATCTGGGAGCATGTACTTCCCAACAGAAGCTTTTTATGCAGCAAGTTCCAGACATAGATTGAACGGAGCAGTTGTTTTCATTTGGTGTCATCTTTGTATTATGATGTTTTGTAAAATCTGGTTTACTTCCAGCAGAATCATTGCGAAATGAAACTTGGCTAGATAAAGTGACATCTTTATTTTCATTTGAGACTCCAGAGAAACTAGAAATTCATTATGTAAAAAGGCCAAGTGTACATTTATAAAAGTAATTAAAGCTTCGATATGGAGTTCAGTTGTTTCTTTCCATCTTTTTCATCTTAACGTCTGAGCATCTTGTTCTAAACTGGGTTTGCACTGCAATGTCTCACCAGAGCACAAAATTAAAATGGAACAAAACATGTGAGGCCGGTCATTTGGCCTTTTACATTCCCAGTTATTGCGGTAGACTTTCATTTGCAGATTCATACATCTTGGCATCAGCAAGGAACAAATGGTGTATAATTTATTCGGAAAGAGTGTTTTTCCATTCAGAGGGAGTTTAATTTCCCTGCAATAGGAAATAACGTATAAGAAACAAAAGTTCATTGTTTAACGTGTAAAAATGTCATACATAAAATGCTTAACAACTAATACTCTAAAACCGTAAATGTACAGTTGCAGAATATGTAACATTCAATTGATGGGATATAAATATTAACAAAGGAATGGATATGGATGTGCAGCTTATCCAAAATCAGGCTGTGTTTGTATGTTTTACTGTAAGCCCTTTATAAAATATAAGCCTCATAAACAGATATAGTCAGAGTAGTTTAAAGCATATAATTGAGAATAATAAATGCCCCTTCTGAATAGAGGTGATATTGTGCTTGTAGATTTTCATAAGTAGACTATTAACTCATGGAATCAATTACACTAATGTAATGAATGATATTTGAGGAAGAAAAAATCTTTGAAATTCTGGATGTGCTTTCGGGACTGATGAATATGGCATCCTTGGGTCCTACTTGGGTCAGACAAAAGAAGAGAGTGACTGAGCAGTGCATTTCTTTTCAGCAAGGAACTGAACAACTACTTAAAACATTTACACACTTATAGAGGTCCCAGTTCTAATCCCTATTTGGGCATCCACTGAGGTTCTTCTCAGGGAACTTCCCACTAAAGAAGTAAGAGGGGTGGTGACCAGGAGAAGGGCCGTTTCAGCAGTGGCACCCTGTTGATGGAACGTGCTCCCCAGAGAGGTACACTTGGTGCCATCTATGCTTTCTTTTCAAGTAAAACACTTTTTTATTTCCAAGATATTTTTATTTTAATGCTGTTTTTATTATTATTGCTGCTGTGCCATGTGCTAATCTTGACTATAGTCGCTGTGGATTGTTGATGCCATTGTTCTAGTTTTATTGTTTATTGTGTTAATTTAAAAATGAGTATGTTATTGGATATTTATATATTTTTTAAAAAATAGTAAATCTCCCAGAGATTTGGGTGCAATAGAAGTACAATAAATAAATAAATGTTGCTCACTGGGCGACTTTGGGCCAGTCGCCCACTCTTAGCCCAGCCGACTTCACAGGGTTGTTAAAATGAATTTATGTAATTCACCATGGGGGAAAAAAGAAGGGTATAAATTTAATATGATAGATGATGATGATGATGATCATCATCATCATCATCTCTCTAAGGTGTGTTCTCTGTATCTGCTTCTTGGACTGGAAACAGATAGCCACTGTATAGTATTGCTTGGAAGCTTGCCAGTTGTTGACTAACCATATGGAACGGCATCAAATGAAGCTCCTGCTCATGCAGGAAGGGCAGCTTGCCTACGTGGTTGGGGTCACTTTATTTACATGCATGTAGAAGCAAAATCAGGAGGGGCAGGAGAGCGGAACCAGTGCCATTGATCATGGACTATTTCACTGCATTAGCCCTGATCCAAGCAGATTATATTTCGTGGCTCTACACAAGAAACCACTGAATAATTGGCATGTAAATTCTGTGCATTTGCATCGGTCAATGAGATACATTTATAGTTCTTCTAGCATGCCTATAGAAAGGTGCAAGAACTGGCTTCAAAAAGCATGGGACTAAGAGCTATATTTTAATTCAGAAGGCAAATGAATTGAATTAAAGTAAATAAATAAGTTTCATCTTTTTTCTCTCTCTCCTTCTCTCTCTTTTTTCCAGATGTATCAATATACATTGATTAAAATATTTTGGACTAGTAGAGACATTGGGTCACTTACTATTAATACAGAAATTCAGACAAACACCTTCCATCTTCTGGATGCCTGAGTATTTGCAACAAAAAAGCTTTAATTTTATTTCAAGCTCAAAAAATACATACTTTTATCTGCTATTAGTTGCAAGTGGTTAACCAGCTGAACCTACAGTGAACGACTATGGCCCGGATGAGTATTGCTTTACGGGTTTGTCACTTGGTGCTGGGGCTGCTCATACATCCATTGAGTACATCATCCATACAGAATAATGAATGTCCACAATTGTGTGTCTGTGAGATAAGACCTTGGTTTACTCCTCAGTCAACTTACAGAGAAGCTACAACCGTTGACTGCAACGATCTTCGTTTAACAAAGATTCCCAGTAACCTTTCCAGTGATACTCAGGTTCTTCTCCTACAAAGTAACAACATTGCCAAGACCACAGATGAACTCCAGCAGCTTTTCAACTTAACTGAGTTGGATTTTTCACAGAACAATTTCACTAGTATAAAAGACGTGGGGCTATCCAACCTTTCTCAACTGACTACTTTGCACCTGGAAGAGAATCAGATCACAGAGATGACAGATTATTGCTTGCAGGATCTGTGCAATCTTCAGGAACTCTATATAAATCACAATCAAATCAGTACCATTTCTGCAAATGCATTTTCAGGCCTGAAGAATCTTTTAAGACTCCACCTTAATTCCAACAAATTAAAGGTTATTGACAGCCATTGGTTTGATTCTACACCCAACTTGGAAATTCTAATGATTGGGGAAAATCCTGTAATTGGAATATTAGATATGAATTTCAAGTCGCTCTCAAATTTAAGAAGTCTGGTTCTGGCTGGCATGTACCTGACTGACATTCCTGGAAATGCTCTAGTAGGATTGGATAGTCTTGAAAGTCTCTCATTTTATGACAACAGATTGGCTAAAGTTCCACAACTCGCACTTGAGAAAGTTCCAAATTTAAAATTTTTGGACCTTAACAAAAACCCAATCCATAAGATCCAAGAAGGAGACTTCAAAAACATGCTTCGGTTGAAAGAACTGGGAATCAACAACATGGGCGAGCTGGTCTCTGTTGACAGGTATGCACTAGACAATCTTCCTGAGCTTACCAAACTTGAAGCAACCAACAACCCAAAGTTATCCTATATACATCGTTTAGCATTTCGGAATGTTCCTGCTCTGGAAAGCCTGATGCTTAACAATAATGCCTTGAATGCAGTCTACCAAAAAACCGTGGAATCCCTTCCAAACTTGCGTGAGATTAGCATTCACAGTAATCCCCTCAGGTGTGACTGTGTCATCCACTGGATAAACTCAAACAAAACCAACATCCGTTTCATGGAGCCTCTGTCCATGTTCTGTGCTATGCCACCAGAATACCGGGGACAGCAAGTCAAGGAGGTCATAATACAGGATTCCAGTGAGCAATGTCTTCCTATGATTTCTCATGACACTTTCCCAAATCATTTGAATTTGGATATTGGCATGACTGTCTTTTTAGACTGTCGGGCTATGGCAGAGCCAGAACCTGAAATTTATTGGGTTACTCCACTTGGGAATAAAATAACTGCAGAAACTCTTTCAGACAAATACAAGCTTAGTAGCGAAGGAACTCTGGAAATATCAAATATTCAGACTGAGGATTCAGGAAGGTACACCTGTGTAGCCCAAAATATAGAAGGTGCAGACACAAGAGTAGCTACAATCAGAGTGAATGGAACACTTTTGGATGGTACTCAAGTGCTGAAAATATATGTCAAACAAGCAGAATCTCATTCAATCCTAGTTTCTTGGAAGGTTAACTCTAACGTTATGACCTCCAATTTAAAATGGTCATCTGCTACAATGAAGATTGACAACCCCCACATTACATACACTGCGAGAGTCCCCGTTGATGTGCATGAATACAACCTCACACACTTGCAACCCTCCACAGATTATGAGGTCTGCCTCACTGTGTCCAACATCCATCAGCAAACTCAGAAGTCCTGTGTTAATGTTACAACAAAGAACGCGGCGTTCGCCCTGGACATTACAGACCAAGAAACGAGTACGGCCTTGGCTGCAGTCATGGGATCCATGTTTGCCGTTATTAGTCTTGCCTCTGTTTCTGTCTATGTTGCGAAAAGGTTCAAGAGGAAAAACTATCACCATTCACTGAAAAAGTATATGCAAAAGACCTCCTCTATCCCCCTGAACGAACTCTATCCGCCACTTATTAACCTCTGGGAAGGTGACAGTGAAAAAGACAGAGAGGGTTCTGCAGAAACCAAGCCAACTCAAGTGGACACATCCAGAAGCTATTATATGTGGTAACTCAGATGATACTTTGCTTCTGGTAGTAAGGAGCACAAAGACTTTTTTGCTTTATTCTGCAAAAGTGACAAGTTTGAAGACTTTTGTATTTTTTGACTTTGCTAGTTTTGTGGCAGAGTGGTGAGGACAGGTGGATATTTCAAATTTTTTTTAGTATAGCGTATCGCAATTGTTTTGACACACACAAACGGCAGCTTCACTTAGCTTCCAGGTTTTTTTTTTAAGTTGTGCTTAATTTAACAATGCTGTTCTAACTATGAAAAATAATAATGAAAGGCTGGTATTGCCCTTTAATTTACGAGTCGCATGACCCCTTTCTAATGAAGCCATCAGCAGAAAGTACAGTGTCCCTGCAAAAATCTAACTCTGTCAACTTGAAAGTACATTAAACCAGCTTTGTCATCATCTGGTCAAAGGACTCTTTAACCTGAGATAAGATGACAAGATTTTGAACAATGGTAGTTGGCCGTACTGTAATGTTGTATCAACTGATCTGAATGTTTTTTTTGACTATGAACAATGATTTTTCTTTTTTAATAGTTGAAGAGACTTAGGTAAAGCTAACAAAGCAATTAAAGTATGTACACTTTTTCAATGTAACAAACTAAATGTTAATTGCTCTTTTCTTATATTTAGTAGAAACTTTTAAAGAAAACCTAGAATTTATTTCTGTGTAATCCACCAACACCTGGCATAGAATGAAGACAGAAGTATAATAAATTATAGTTTTTGTTCTGTTTGGTTTTTTTAATGGGTGATTATGTTTTGACATAAAATATGTCCAGCATTATATGAACTTGTGGGTCTCTGGGTCAAATTAGATTTCAGTTTTTCCTTTAAAAATCTATTTTATCAAATGTGAGTTTTATTCACACTCAGTTTTGATATGAAGGCAAACCAATAAAGTATTGATAGACATTTCATTAGGAGGACAGGTGTGGGAGAACATATGTTCCTGTGTCAGAAGCTCACCTGTTTCACATGTTACCCTTAAGCAAGTTTTTGTTCCTTGCTTGGTTTCTGGAACATAACTACACTCCATATTGAACAAGTGGCACCTGTCATTAAGATAAGTGAAAAACTCAGCTCCTAGGCTTACTTGCTAGGGAACAAGGCTCATTCATTTCACTGGGACTTACTTTTAAGGAAGCAGGTTTAGAATTGCACTGCCTTTGTACGTAATGCAATATGCATCTAATTATATATGAAAGAAAATGATTTGTGTTTATTTCCACTGTCGAACTATTATGGTGACACAAATTATATGTACCGATCTCCATGTGTATGCTAAAGGGAAACTTGAGTTAGCCTGGCATGCTACTTTTACAAAAGGACTTGTTTTTGAGGTAAGAAAACAAAAGACTACTTGCAACATCGATGCTGAGATATCCAGAAGAGGAAACCGAGAGCTTCAACCTGTTCTGTGCCTTCTACCACAACCACATGAAACATAATGTAAAGGCAAAGTATCAAGAAAACCTGGGCCCTTGAATGTGTTGGCCAGCTTGTCCTGGGGAAGGCAAAGGTGAAAGTGCAATTAGTTTAGCCATCGGAGGTAATTACCTCTCAATTTGGCAGACTGGATTTATGGATGAAAAGAGTCCCTTTTCTCCTGTAGTCTCTGAACTCACAATAATCAAGGTCTGTTAGGAAAAATTTTAACTCCTCCTCTGAGGCTTTTCTCTGAAGAGTGAAATGGCATTAACTGTAGCTGTTAATGAAAAACTAACATTTAAAAGGGTAAGAATGATGAGCACTGTATTTAACATTTTGTTGTAGGTTTACTCCTCCCCTGGTATTGTCATATCCTTTCTAAGTGTCTGCGTGATCTGATCATGTTTCTTGGAATGAAGTTGCGTGGCTGACTCTTTTCAGTAATGCTAGTCCCAGTCTGTAGAGCATTTGCTGTCCAAAAGAGAAAAGGCGGAGGCAGACTTTCCATTTGTACATATAGTGGGTCAGTAGGCTTACTTTACTAATTCATTCAATTATTAGTCACCTTTGGGCTTAAACCCTTTCCCACTGATGTAAAGTTTATAAACTCTGCAACAATACCTCATAAGCAAATTAAGAACTGTAGCCATGTTTCTCCCCCTCTTTCCAGGCAGACTGTGGCTTACTAGCTAAAAAACACTGTTAAGGGAATGCACACCAAACAGACTGGGTTAAATGTATCATGTATTGCAAAAGTCAGTAACAAAAGAAACAAACATAGTTACTATACTAGCCCTTGAGAAAATGTGACCTGTGGTTGAGATGTTGATTCCAAGGTGAATGCCCCTCCTGCCTTCTAAACACAAATTACCAGTGCAGGTCTCTAAGGCACATCCTCTTGCCTGAGGGCTGGTCACTTGGAGCACCTGACTCTTCTCAGCTGCTCTGTCCTCTTTAGCTGACCCTGTACCCTGAGATTAGTGATGCTTGATCTAGCTGCCTCATCAGTTGCTCAGTGGCTTCCTTGCAGTACTTGAAAGGGGCTGATGCTCACCAACAGTCTGGCTTATCTCTGAATCCTCTGCCCTTGGCATTTCAGCAACATAGTCCACCCCTTCCTCACCTGGCTCAGAATCTGTCCCCACACCCTTTGAAGGCTCTTGTAGGAAGAATGGGCTCCATTCCCAAACCAACCATCTCTGGAAATGAAGACTTTCATCAAAGACTTTCATCACTCTTATTTGCATGGCAAGAGTACTTTCATTCATTCAACCCACCTCAATATTTATTGAACAGGCACAGACCTATAAAAACAATGTTAGCACAAGGATAAACAATGTAATCATTAAAGCCCACATATGTTTAAAATGCAGTCTGAAAACATGGGATGAAAGAAGGAACCTTATGGCAGAAATTAGCCACTAACTCTGGCATTGATTGCTATACATCAATCAGAAAATATTCTAGATATGGCCCAAGGGTTCAGCTACTTTGCCACTACAGGGACATAGTTGGTCTTCATATAGGACAGTCCCAAAATCACATAGAGATGCAATTGGGTTTCCTTTTCTGTAACTCGGCACCTCTCACCATCTTCAAGCAGAATTGCCAAAGTTCTGTAGCCATCTCTCTTGCCAGGTGCCCTTACTTATACTCAAGGGATTACTGAGAAGTCACATAGATCAGGTAGGCTTCTCCCAATCTCATTGTAAGGTCCATAATCGTAAGTCTCATCAACTAGTATAATTTGGGTAGCCACTTATACATTGCTAAATAAAGTACTCATCACCAAAAACAGGACAAAATGAGAGTGCTGATTTGCATACTCTGTGTATAGATAGACATACTGTGATAGGCATACAGTGAGACTTGGGCCTGACAGGTCTTCAGGTAGATCAGGGGTGGCAGCATGTGGCCTGCAGCTGTTCTTGGATTGCAAGCCCCATGATTCCTCATCATTGATTGTCGTAGCTAAGGCTAATGGACACTGTAGTCAACATCTGGAGGACTACATTTTCTCCAGCCCTGGAAAAAAGAAGACACTTTCAACTACAACTTAACATTGTAAGCTGCCCCGAGGCTTCGGCGAATGGGGCGGCATAAAAAATGTTTTAATAAATAAATAAACTAGTCTTTTATAGCCCTTCAAATACAGAACAGTCTTCTAGAAAGTAGAACACATGGCCACCTTGGTCCTGATAACCAAGTCATATGAGTAAGCAGTTAAGACCTGGAGATTGTGTTCAAGGCCAAGGTTTGGTTTAGAACATGTGAGTGACTAATTTTGAAAAGGTTCACATAAAAAACCAAGCAGAACATTCGAAGAGGCAGGCTTCACTTCCTACCTTGGCCTCATCAGTAGCTACTATAGAAACCTGGCATTTGTCTTCTCTACAGCCCCATAGAGGTGGCCACTATCCATTTTGATGAAACGGTCCCATTTCCTGTACTAGTTCATGTCAACTAGGTGGGTGCTTTGGGGAGCAAAGTTAACCGCAATCAAGCAGTCATCCTAGGTGTTGGTTTTTCAGCAGGATGGGTGCTGCATCAACACTGTTCTTTCCTGTGGCACTTAAGTACAATTCCAACTCCAGAGCAGGCATGATACAAGATCTCTCTCTGTCACTGGTTGTGTGACTAGGTACACAATACCTCCTTTTCACATTGCCCCAGTTGCAAAATAAGATAAATTGTCCATGTGATGCCAAGAACCCCGTAATTCCCTTTTCCAGAAAAGCTTTACTAAAGAAAACGTAACGTCATAACATTGAGGCTCCCCACTCCATCAGCTTTAGTGACTATCACTTGCAAGAGCAAGGAAATTCAGTAAAGAGAACCATGTGTACTATGCATTGTCTAGTGATTCACTTTATTGACCTTTGTCCTCCTCCTTGCTCTACCATGAAAGATGTTTCTCCTGCCTTCTGGCCACTTTTTAGGTCTGGGTTCTCAGTCTCCTACTCTCATATTCCTTGAGAAGTCCTATACCTTCCTCAAACAGGGTTTTTCCTGCAGCTCAGCAAACAGCATGAGGCACAGAGAGAGTCTAGTTAATGATTTATTTATATTTAGTTTGAGATTGTTATCCTTCCTAATCCTTCAACAACTTCCTTCCTTTTTTTGCAAGGGCTCTCATTTGGAGCGCATGACCACCGGTGATTATGTCAGTATGATTCAGATCAAGTACAAGCAACTCAGCAAGAAGAATTTTAATGTTAGCCTTCACCATAATCTTCCTTGCCAGTTTGGGTAAATGAAAGGTTGCTTAGATGGCCACTGTCACCATACGGTGAGTCATGCAGCAACTCTGTGTAATCATGTAATTTTGATCCATACCTCATGAATGGTTCCTCTGCAACTGCTGCCATAAGAAGCTTTCTGGGTGGTATCTACCATATGTCAACTTGTCTATCATCTAACTCACACCGTTTCCCTTTCCTGAACAATTGGTTGTTCAGCCCCAGAATTCAGAAGGTCCAAAGCATGTTGCTCTACAAAGCAATAGACGAGCTCCAATACTCCCCACATGCTGCTCCTTGTATGTCTTTGTCCTCCACACCAGAGAG